TGCTATTGCCTTTCTGTGGTCTGACACACCACCACTATCCATCTGTTTCTTGGCAGTATTTTGCCCTCACTTACTTTCCTCCAGCAGTTGTACAGTCCACTCTTGGTCTGGGTCCCCCCACCACAGAACACACTGGATAAAATCCTTACAGCCTTCCCTCTTCCAAGGCACAGACTAGAGCAACACCAAATGACTACCACATTGGTGGCTCTCCTTTCCTAGGGCTGGGGACTTGTGGGCTTCCTTCCACAAAACCACCAAGTCAACCAAACCCAGTCACTTACTAAAGAAGAGACAAAGCCTTACACCTTCTCAATGCTCTGTCTGAAATTTTGTGCCCTAAGCTGTCTTGCCTCTAACTGTCAGCACTAAGGCTGACTAAAAGTATCTTGCCTCTTCTTTTGTAAGACTGATGGTACCTCCTCTACAGCATTTACCACATAAGGCAACACTAACTGCTCTCTTCCTCTAGTCATTTCCAGTTTCCTGTGGTGTCTGCAGTAATACCATCCCACCCACCACAGTTCCTGCCCAGAGGAAGTAAGGACAATACAAGTGAGCCCATGTCCCCTTTTAACTCCTTCCTAGGACCAATTCCCTCCCACTTTTTTCTCCACCAGTGGAGGTCAGGAATAGTACAAAATCACTCATAATGAGCTGAAAACAGCCCTTGCCCCTCAGAGAGGCCACCCTCTTTTTACAAGTAAGAATTCTAGAGGAGGAAAAACATAAAACCTAATGAAGCCCTCCCTCAGTTATTTGACTGGGAGCCCTCAGGTAGAGGTCACAACTGGTGAAATTCTCTATTTGATCATAGAGTTCCTTTCAAGTTTTTTTGGCTGACCAAAAATTAGACAAGTAGAAAGAAACCTAGTACCTGGATATAATTTGCTCAGTATGTCTACTAATTTTGCTCTTTTGTGTCTGGCTGCCATGAGAAGTAATGAAGGCAAAGTCTGCAGTGCAGAACTCCAGTCAAATCTGTTCTTAAATGTCTGAAAAATTCCCCCAAGCCCCCGCAAATGATGGAAAACGTTGATTGTTCCTCAGTATTTGACAATATTGTTGCTAAAGGACAATAAGATTGATGGAGGGAGGCCTTATAAGAACCTTCATTAGATCAAATCAAATATCTACCCCAGTGTAGCAGAAGGAAAATGACAACTATTTTTCTCTATTAGGAATAATATCTTTGATTTTGACCCCATTTGCACCAGCATAAACAAGAAGAAAGTCAGGTCATAAGTGAAAATTAAAACCAAAGCATATAAACCCCCATGAATATAAGGTAAAAGGGACCATCCAATGCTCCTAGTGGATATTATGTCCCAAATAGCCCATTGTCCACAAGAACTGCTATCAACTTGCAGCCGAGTCTTTCTCAACCCCTTTGATTCCAGCAAGCTGAGCATGTCATTACTCACAAACCTACAGGCCTGAGTCCTTATCTATTTCTTTGATTTAATTATCTTCATTCCTGAAGATTTAATTATCTTCATTCTTTAATTATCAGAGAATAAACTTACCCGGAGTATTCAGGCATTTTATCCTCTCACCACAAATGCTTGGAGATTCAGTGCATTCATCTCTGTCCTGTAAATCACAAGAATCATATTGAAACACTTTAACACAACAACTTAAATTTGAAAAGGCACCTCTTTAGGCTCTGTGACACCCATCTACCAGTAAAAGGTGTATGTAGGGATGGAGAGGGGGCTGATCCCATAAGCATGTTGGAGCAAGACAACTTGTTTTGGATTTGTCACCTGTTTTAACAAGGTATCCAAAAAGACTGCATGGTGTCCACAGAAAGCTAGTAGTGTGCAGATGACGAGCTAAATGGATTGGCTGCACAACTAACACTTATTATGATGCATGATCTGTAAGACAGTATCACAGCCCCGAGAGCAATGCATCACTCCATTGGTCTTAAGGACACTGTAACAATCGAGACAGTATTAGGAAAGGCTCTTGAAGACATTTAGTCTGGGAGGAAGGTGCTAACTGAAAAACGCACAAGAAAGGTAAATGACAAAGTAGTTATTTCCTGTCAACAAGCCCTCCTTTCACCCTACAGCAGGCAGAGGGGAAAGAATAACAGGCTACATTCGCATTTAAATGTTAGCATTAAAGAAAACTGAAACTAGCAGAGAGAGACCCGAACAGACTCTTTCAGGTTCTCTTCTCAGTATCTTGGGCTTAGGTCACCAGCCGTTCAGGCTCATGTTAAGCTAAGAATTGGGGGCAACATTGGCAAACAAGATACTGCTTTAAATATCAAGTTCCCCATATATCTTAGGACTTCTAAATGAGAGAAAGTGACCAAAGAACCATCTTATTTTGCTTACATGCTGGTTTTGCATCATATAATAAAATGTATTTTATAATAAAATGTATTTAATGATAAAAGCATCTGTGTTCTGTGTTTTTATATGTTTGTATGTTATGTTTAAACTGAAATTTGTTTTAACTGACAACTTTTGTTTCCAAACTTATAAATAAATATCTGACCTCTAGTTTTGCTTAGGAAAACTTTCCTCTGCTTTTCAGAGATGTCTAGAAGTTCCTGTAGAGTGGACTGGGACTAAATAAACAAATTTAGCATGCATAAGTATACATGTTTTAGGATGCCTTTTCCTACCATGATGAAAAGAATCAAAGTCCTGCCAGCTGTCAGGTTTGGGAAAGTGTCACACCCAACAGGCACAAACTAGTGCCCCATTTAGAGCAATAAATGGTAAAGAGAAAACCCACAGGCAGACTTTGAAGTGCCATAGACCCATCTGGTAAAACACATGCTTCAAACTGGATCTCTCTAGCTCTCCAAGTAGTTATTTCCAGAATGTCATCCCAGTATGTCAACACAATACTTCATAAGCAATAACTGAAAGATACAGAATTAAACTTCACCTGGCAAATCCGATCAGAGTTTGCAGAACACTCGGCCATTTGGAAAAAACCAGCAGGACACAACGTGCATTTTTCACATTGTGAAGGTGTCTTTTGGAAATTGCAAAATTCATCACTTTCACAAAGGCCACAGTCCAGCAAAGACTCCCCAACATTAATCACTTTTGCATCCACTTCTACTTTATGCACAGAGTATGACTTCTGGAGATGACTCCTGACTTGGTTCTGAAGTCCTTGAAGATGACTTTCAAAGTAATTTTGAATATCTTCTTGCAAACTCTGAAATGACATTTGTTTTACCGTATCAAAAAGCATGCCATACTGGACTTTGATCAGATCCATTTGCTCATACATTTTTCTTTGCTGTTCAAGAATCTCCCGTTGCTGGCTAACCAATATGTGCTGCTGTTCAGCAAGTTTTTGCTGCAAATCGACAATGATCTGCTGTTGGCTTTTTAGCATTTCAGTAAATTTCTCATGCCCTTTTGCAAGGTGCAGCTGTAGTATTAGGGCATCTTCAGATGGAACTTCATTTTCTCCTGAAATACAAATGATCAATTATTGTCCAAGAAAAGTAATACAGCTTGCTGTATTTTCTCTTCAAAGGCATTCAAATTTTAATAAGTTAATGACAAGACTCACTAAATTCAAGTCATGATTATAAGGCCAGTTCCTTTACTATCTTTGTAGCCCCTTCATGGGACCACAAGCATGGTGGTGGTGATTTCATAAGCAACTACATTTATAGTTGTAGACATTAAAAAAGTCGTAATCAAGCCCCCTGCTTCACGGTATAAATTAATCATCACTGGGATTCAATAACAGATTAATCATTCCTATGTACATGTTCAAATACAATAAAGAGTAAATGGCCAATTTTCACTGTAGACGCGATAAAATGAGGTGATAAAACTTGCTGGGAATATTAAGCTATTAAGGATAGTAAAAGTAGGGGTCAATTGCAAAGAGCTGCAAAAGGAGTCTATGATATTGAATAGCAGCAATAAAATGGCAAAAAGAAAGTCAAAGGAGATAGAGGTGAAATGAGGCACCCACCGAAAAAAAAAATCTAAGGATTTTATATCAAATGTTGTGGTTGTAGATTATTATTACCACTTGGAAAGGATCTTGAGGTAATATATCTAGATATAGATGTTGGGCTACAGAGCCATGTAACCCTCAGTTCAGTGCCCAACAGAGGTCAAAAAGGCAAATAAAATGCTAGGACTAATTAGAAGAGGAATACATAACAGAAGAGAATGTATCATTATGACATTATATTAATCAATAGAGCATCTTTAATACAGCATGCAGTCCTGGTTCCCCATCTCAAAAAAGTGCACAGAAGAACTCGAAAAGTTGACAAAAGGGCAGCAAGAAAAATTTAACGTATGATACTGCTACAATATGAGAAGGTAGGTAGGACTTTTCAGGATGAGACAATGAAAAAGACCAGTTCCTGTTTATGGTTCCTAAAATATTTTGCTGTTCAGTTACTTTTATTCACGGTATAAGGCACACATTATTTTTTATTTTTCAGTATTCACTTAAATATTAAGGTAGTTTGCAGTGTACTGGATTTGAGAAAGTACAGACCGGGATTCAGGAAAGGCCACACTCCCCATTCAAGTTGGAAATTCCAGATTTTGAAATATCTCATGAATTATACCCCCAGATCTCCTTCCATCTAACATGAACAAGTAGTTCTGTGAAGAGCAGAACCAATGTCATCTGATTCTCTGTGGATTTGTGTCTTGCATTTGACTGGCTAAATAAGTAGCACTACCTTCGCTATCTTTCTTCTTCAGAATACAGAGCAACAACCAAGCTGCTTTTGTCCCACCACCTGAAAGGACTAACACATTCCACTCATGTTCCACTCTCTCCTCTCTTTAATCACCTCTTACAAAGTTTATACAACCTTGCTTACTTTTAATACCCCTGACTATTGTCAAATTTTCCTGAAATCAGCCCATAGGTTTGACAGATACTGGGCAGCAAGACAGTTACAAGCACATTGTGATTGCCTATCAAGATTTTTCATCCACCTATATGGGCTCCATTTGTGCTTAAGGCTGGAAAGACATTAACAAATTCTTTGTCACAAAACATTTGCTCTCAGAAGTCTGGCTTACAACCGAGAGAATACAGGCAGAAGAGCATAGGTCTTTGCCAAGTATTTTGGCTGTACAAGTGACAACACAGTGCAAAAGGACTATGCTGTGTATCAGGAAGAGTTATGTCTTCAAAGTAGATGGAAAGTCTGTGAGGAAAAGGGCGGCCCTTACCTGGCCAAATAAAGCATATGCACCTAGAAAAATAGCTGATGAAAGCTGGCATATTGAGGCTTTGGCTACCATGTTGACTACTGTTACTTAATTGTTTCTTGGTAGATCTCCCTGTAAGTTTTCTGAGAGGGACTTCATCCTCTTGTCCTGCATTAATATAACTTCTTACACGCTGGGATCACATGTGAGAACAGGGCTCCATAATAGTACCGCAATACAGTTATCGATAAAATAATATAAACATAGTAAATAATGAGCACAATATTCTTATAATACCAGAAAATCTAAAATCTAAATGCATCCCCCCAGGAAACTGCTACATAGTACTAACAGCCATCGTATTTACTGTCGAATGAGCTGCATACATGTCTGCCTTTATCAATAGCTTCAGAAAGAGGTGATCTTGACTTTAAGCTTGAAATGTTAACAAATCCAGGTTTGTAAGGAACAAATAGTAATGAAAGTAACAGCATTAAACTCCCTCTTTCTAGGCCTTTTGACCCTCTTTCTCAATGAAAAAGGAAAAAAGAAATAACCTTCACAGAGGTGAGGAAAAGTCCAACTGCACCACTTAAAAGTCAGCCCAGGGAACTGCCTCTGGGGAACTGCAAGAGGGAGTGAATCCCACAGTCAAGGATATATTACAAAACCACTTTTTTCCAAAACCACTTTTCCTCCAGTTCTCAGTGGCTGAGATTCAGGAAGCAATAACAGTAACATTTTTAACTATTCCAGCCATCACAAATTTATAGATGGGGAGAATAGACTCTCCAAAGACAGGGCTATTGGGCTCTTACCATCCTGGGAATCTGGGCTTTTCTCACACACACAAGCAAAACTATTAGAGCAAAGAAAGGTTAACTAAAGCTCTGATTCAATAAGAGATATAAAATAGAGCTTATTTTTAAGCACGTTCTTAAGGAGCATTGTCTTCAACCATTAACTGTCTGACTTGCTGGCAGTAACAACTACCATTTTAACTACTGACTGCAGTGAAGCTTACTCACACGATGGACCAGCTTTCTATTATCTCTGCCCTAAAGGGCCTTACAGAACTTTGTAACAACAGCTACCTTCCAGTCAGTCAATTTAGCTTTGCTCCTTTTGGCTGCCTAAAGCTCAGCTGGTGAGAATATGAAGCCTAAAAAATCCTTTGTGAGTGTTTTTTTCCTCTCATTTTTATCCATTTTGCAGTACTATGACTAAACTTATACTTACCGTACAAGAGGCCCTTCACTGCACAGTACAGTCAGTACTACTGGCAGTTCACAATGCCAGAGCAACAGAATGCGTAATAAAGCTCTTGCGCGAAAGAGAAGACTGTACTGAAAATAAACTATGTTCAATTAAGCAGAAAGGGTATCTTGTTTGCCAGAAGAATTCTGAAGGAGAAGTCTAAAATAGCCCAGATGCAGAGTGCCCTAAATGTGGCCTTGTTTCTCTCCATTAACTATATAAAGGTAAGGCACAGTGAATATGTCAGATGGGGATGTCTCTATCCCAGACATCTAAAATTATGAGAAGAATTCCACTGCAAGTGATGTTTACACATTAGTAGATGCCAGCAATCCCACTTAAGTACCTTTCCACATTGCTCAGACAAGCATCAAACAGGTACATCCACTAGCAACACTCAGATGTTCCCACGACCACAGATAGTATATTACTTTCCTTGCACACGCACGCCACGCACAGCCATGGCAAGGTCTGTTTTGCAGACACCTGCTCCGTGCTTCCAGGATCAATCCACAGTGCAAACATAGTATCACATATGGACCTCTGCTACGTTTCCCTAGTATGCCTGGAAAGGACATGTCATCCTGAGGGCATGCTGCACGGACAAGGTAGCCCTCAGGCACAATCTGCCACTGCACAAGAGGCAAAGGATAAAAGCAGGCAGTCATTCTACTGTGAGGAAGGGAAGGCGAGATCTTGATTGGGACTGGAGAGCACAGGGCCATCTGATGGTGCCAGTCACTCCTGGTAACCACAGGAGATGACAGCAGTGGGCTGCAAGCACTGCTCAGTGCACAGATAGGAACAACATGAAAACCGACAACCTTGTTCACCAGGTTTGGCAGGTGTGAGATATAGCAGCTGCACATTATTTTGCCCAAATGCAGACGTTTGCAGCTGCAGAGAATTCTGCCCAAAAGAAAACAACAGAAAGATAGGTCTGATAGGAAAAATTAAGGATTTAGTGGCAATTAATGAGTGAGGAGAGAAACACAGAGGAATACAAAATGATAAGACAACAAAAACAGGTCCTGTGCATTCCTTCTTTTGGGATGCCAATCTTTCATCTGAAGTAAGGTGTACTCACGGTGCTGCTGAGAAATAGCAGTGACAATCTTGCAGAAGAATGGGCTCATCTGATTTGAAAAGGGAGTACAAGTCTGCACTCCAGCATCTTCACCTGGCCAACAGAAATGGTGGTTCAGCTGCAGTTGGCAGCAGCTTTCCAGATAGTAGCTGTGGTGCTGGTGATACTGGCTGAAAAGATGATGAAGATGTTTGTGTGATCCCCACAGAAGGGCTGTGTTGGTTCTGCCAGGCAGCTGGTGGAGACTAACAGTCACCTGCCTCATGCAGATGAGCCTGCAAACACAGACACAGTGCTGGGAATCAGCTAGAGCCCCTGATACTGGCCTGTATCTTGGAGGGCTGATATCAGGCATGGTCTTCAGCAAGCATTCAAGTAGACCACACCTCACGTGAATGGGGCTACGCAACAGGTTGAACAAAAGATTATTCTGCTCACCAAAACACAGCCTTCTCCGCCAGCTAAACTGGACGGGAGGTCTCTCTTAGTGACTGAAGAATCATTGCAAATCTGCTCATGCACTGTCACAATGCTGGTAGTCATAGGCTGGGGTGGGCCACCAGGTCTCCACCTGCGGATGGTGAATCAACACAGGCAGAAAAATGGCCTTAGGGTCACCCAGGCAGCGTATTCCAGCTCCCCTGCTGTCTGAGGACAGGGCAAAGAAATACCCCATGCAGCTGGCTTTAGAGTGACGTGCCGAAATGGTAACCAGACAGAAACATTGCCCTAGAAACAAGAGAAAGACAGGAACAGTCACTGACCTGTTTCTTCTTGAATAGATGGTTTCCTCTGTTTTCAGCTACAGCACCTTAGGTGTGAAACTGAAGGGCCATACAGCCTTCTGTTTCTTTCTTCCACCAGGAACTAACCATACCTTCATCCTTGATCTAAAAACACTAGAAATCCCCAAGAAGAATTCTCTGCACATGGCTGCCAGAGAAACCTCCTCTTTTGGGGTGATCAATTAAGGAAGAATTAGGAGGATGGGCGAGGATGTAGAGGTGGCAGATAATCTCTCATAAACTTGTGTTCTTTCCGAATGTGTGACAAGTTCCTGGAGGCTAAAATAAATGTACGATTGCCTGGGCTGGAGACATACACCTGCGCTGTCCGTACAATATTGTACAATCACCTTGCAGTCACGCCAAAGATGTACTGTGCACAGGAAAAAAAATACTGTGGTATTTTCTTTGCCTCCCACTCACTTAAGTCAAGGGCTGAGCACATGGAGCAGCCTCATCTCACAAGACACTGCAAACAGGATTGGGAACACACAGCAGCCACTCTGAGTACTAGAGGCAACTCTGTGCACTCTGACCAACCCCAGAGACTCCTAGAGCTCAGCTAAGCCTGTCTGCAGCATATTCGCTGCAGCATTCAAGAGGTCCCTACATTTCCTTCAGAGGGACTCTTGCTGGTCCCCACGGGCTACTGACCACCATGGGCAGTTCTGCCTGAATCTGGTTCTTCTCCATGAAGTTACAACTGTACCGCACATCTGTAAGACAGACTCCTGCCACACCTGCACAATGAGATTTATCCACAAAATTTCATGGCAGGAAAGCCACCATCTCCACCATACAGACTGGGCACAGCTCTTGAGTGAGCTCCCAGTGTCCCCTAGCAGGGCTCTTTAGAAGGCTAGAACTGCAGTATGCTTTTCACGATGCTTACCTGCATTTGCCCTGTCGTGTTCACTGCATGCTGTTTGAGTAGCAGCTCTCCTCACACAACCATAAATGCATTTCCCCTAATTAGATGTCTGATTATCACATTTTGTTGTTCTGTTTGTTCTAGTAGACAAGCCATACTGGAATTTCTATGCAGAACCATGCTCATTTCCAAGACCCAGCACCCAGCATTCCAGCTGCAAATGGGGATTGAACAAGGTATTCTCTGCACTAATGCAGGAAACCCACTGACCTGTGTTCAAAAGCAGGTCTCAGGCAAATGCAGAGAATATTAGAGGTTGCAGGCAGAGCAGAATACCAGATGCTTGCCTGTACACTGACTTGAAGGAAACCAAAGACTGTCAACATGGCTTATTTTTTTGTTCCTGATGCCAAGAACATGGAGTTTCTGCTAGATGTTGATGAATCCAGTATGCTATTCTTCCACTCCTAGGAGTGAAAGCTGCTTTGTGAAGGCCTGGGTCCAGGCTTTAGAATGGGCAAAACATGTATGTATGTCCTTTGTCCAGTCTGGACAGACGTATATCTACAGCAGGTCTCATCCACACTAACTGCAGTCATGATTGCTGCAGTGGCCCTGGGTGTGGGCTGGTGCCAACCAGTGTCACTCGCTGGCCACAAGGCAAAAACAGTGAGAGGGGGCAACTTCTGAGGGTGCAGTTGTCCTCATCTGAAAACTTCCTCTCACACATAGAAGCTCATGTGTTATCACAGGTTTGCGCTTCCATGCTGACAGTGCCTTCCATGAGATTACGTGGTTTAGTGGGCAGTGCTGTACACTGCTTTTCCTCCAACATACAGGATGCTTCTCTCTGCCACAGGAAGGAGATGAATGCACAAATCCATGACTGCCACTGGCCATAAGGTATAATCCATTCTTGATGCATTCAAGGATTTTAAGGGAAAATTCTAACCACACTTCTGTTCCTCCAAGACTTTACCCGGCACCCAGCCTGCAAAGAGCATAAAATTGGAAGAGTACGGTGAACTCTGCATCGAGTCTCCAAAATCCCCAGCCACTTCACTCTCCGACCCTTTTGCTTTAATTTCCTTTAGTCTGTTTTCCTCTGACCCACATCAGAGGGGACAGAGGACCTAATCCTAAGGCCTAGGAGATGAGGGGTGCATGTAACTCACCATGTTAGCTGGAAGTGCTGATGGTACTGGAGACTGGGCAGCACAGACTGATCCGGATCCTCTAAAGATGACCAAAGAATAAGAGGATGTTTGGAGAAAGAGGTCATGCTGAGCTGGATGCTCTTTGTAAGACCTTCACGGAGATACGGCATGTCTGCTTTTAGCACCATCCAAGAAGTATTAGTCTTTTCTGTCCATGCAGGATGCCCGTATTATTTTCCAGGGCTTGTACTACATAGAGATGGATTTTGGTAAGGACAAAGAAAATGCAAATATCCTGGGTCCTTTTGTAAAAGGGAGACATGGCAGTTATGATGATAGTACAAAGAGTATGCACAGAAGCAGAGAAGATGGAGGCCAGCCATACTGACTTCTCTGTTTGCTGTCCACCTTTGGTCACGGAGCATACAGAGGTTCTTTAAGACATCCAGGAACAATATCAGGCAAGATGAAGGTAGACAGTGTCACTGCACTAGTGGGGGGTTAAATCTCAGCTCTGGGACTGGATTTGCCACTAAGTGCTGGAGTCTGCTTTGGAGGAGATGTCACTTCACTAAGTAGATCTTGGTAACGAGGCTTGGCATGCGGTCTGGTGTCTGAAGCGGCCACAGCCTTCGGATTAGCCGCACGGATGTGACAAAGTTTAAATGACCTTCTTCATGCTTTCCATTAGCTTTTAACATCCATGGGGAATAAAATCAATCACCCTTCCTCATATATTTTATATCTTTCAGATAAGGCATTAAACCCAAACCCGAACTGTTTTGTGGTCATTAAAGATCTGCTGGTGCTTTTCATGTGGGTAAATCCACATATCCCAGGCAACTACATAACACCTTCTGCTGACCTGTGAGTATAACCATGGACATACCTGGCTTCCTACAGGGATACTGAATTGACCACAGCTGTGCTCTCGTCAACTGACAGGCAAGTGCTCTGAATGATGTGCAGAAAGAGAGGCTCTGCAATATCTTTTTTTTTTTTGCTGGCTATTACAGGGAGACAATTTGTCAGCAGCAGTAAGTTTCTTACCAATGGCACCAGTCCATTCATCCTGGGTGTGGAACATACACACACCCCGCAAAACCCTGTATGTTGGTATAAATTAAAAACCCCAGATATACCAGACTGTGAAGAGAGAGACGGTTAGAGATCTTACACTCATTTAAAAATAGCACTAAAAAAAGTTTTGCCATGTTTCATCTGCTGTGGGTCTCCTACGTGCACACGTGCGTGCAGAGGGGAGATGAAGGGGAGGAGAGAGGGGAGCCGGGACAGCAGTTCCCCATGCGTCACAAAGACCAGTGCCAGATTTGCCCCCTAATCCTCCCAAAACGAGGAGGTCTGGTGCACCCGCGCGGGTGCCCCTGTGGCCGGGCTCCCAGAGGTGCTCAAGCCCCTCGGCTCAGCAGACTCCTGCCAGGTGTGAAGAGACCCA